AGTGCTAATGAAATTACAGTTTATTGTAAGACACCCACAAGAGGAAACTATTGTTAATCTACTAAAAAATGTAACTTACTCTTCAAACCATTTGAGAAATATTATGCAAAGTTGATAGATAAGGCTTAACACTACGTTTAATGGGCAAGTACTAAACAACTGCAATTAACATAATTTTGGTATTTTTAAACTTTTTTTTATTGAGTCAGGGTCTTACTCTGTTTCCCAGGCTGTAGTGCAGAGGCACGATTACGGCTCACCACATTCTCCAACTCGTGGGCTCAAGTGATCCTCTTGCATCAGCCTCCTGAGTAGCTGGGTCTACAGGCATGCACTACCACACCTGCATTTTTTTTTCAATTTTTTGTAGAGATGAGGTCTCACTATGTTGCCCAGGCTGGTCTTGGACTCCTGGGTTCAAGCAATCCCGTTACCTGCACCTCCCAAAGTGCTGGGGTTACAGGCTTAAGCCATTGTTTCCTTTTAACTGTACTCTAGGATTTTATCACATCACTGTAATAACATTTCTGTGAAAATATCCCAAGCTATTTAGTTGAAATTTATTAATTATTTAGGAGAAAAGTCTTGAGTTGAAATTTGAAAGACTTTCAAGCGAAGTGAATCAATTTTTCACTATACTCTAATAAAAGGAAAAAGTGGACTGATACTTTTCCAAATTTAAACAGAACACTAAAAATCTACTTATTAAATGCTTTAAGAAATACGAATGATGTTCAAGCTGGTAGAAGCTACTTCGAGGAGTCACTGAGGGTGACACGGATTACCTTTCCCACGTCTGTAGTCTAAACAAAACCTAAAACACCCCTACCTTCTTACCAGAGGCATCTTTAACTTGTCCAAGTCTTCTACTGAACATGAGAGACATTTTGGTTTAGACACATACTTGTTTGAAAACAGTGTGTAAGTTCTAAACCAGTGGTGGAAATAAAAATTATCTGTAAGTGAGCCCATCTTTTTTTAAACTTTTTACTTGGTCACTCCATCAATGAATCTTGTTTAATGAAAACCAATTATTTTCATTTTTAATGCCTTTATTAATTCAATAGTTTTCAACAATCTCTGAAGGTAAAGGTAACAGCACAATGGAAACACTGATACAGTATTAACACTACCCTTGCAATTCTGAAGTTCTTTAAAATTAAACTTTGTGTTGATTACTGACAGATCTTTTCAAAAAAGTATTAAAGTGACCGAAATAAAGGTGCCTAAAGGAATAAGCAAACAAGCTCCGTGAGGTGGGAATTAACCTGTTTTGTTCTAGGGCTGTAACCCACTAGAGGAGTGCCTCTTACACTCAACAAATGTTCCTCAAACCAATAAATGATCACACAGGTATCTGCAGCACTCAATGCTAAGCAATCCAGGGAAAGATGAAAGGGTGAAGATGCTATATCATTCCTTCTTTGAATAAATGCCTTTCTTTTCTTACTTTTATTTTTATTTTTTATTTTTTGAGTAGGAGTCTTACTCTAATACCCAGGCTAGAGAGCAGTGGCACACAACTCATGGCCACTGCAGCCTTAACCTGCTGGGCTCAGGCAATCCTTCTGCTGTCAGCCTTCCAAGAAGCTAGAGCTACAGGCGTGCGCTCCCACACCTGGCTGATTTTTTAATTTATTGTAGAGATGAGGTTTCACCAAGTTGCCCAGGCTGGTCTCGAACCCCCAGGCTCAGGCAATCCTCTCACCTTGGCCTCCTAAAGTGCTGAGATTACAGGTTGAGCCACCGCGCCTGGCCTATTATTCGCTTTCTTTCTTTTTTATTATTATTATTGTAGAGACGAGGTCTCACCAAGTTGCCTGGGCTGGTCTCGAACCGCTGAGCTCATGCAATCCTCTCGCCTCAGCCTCCCAAAATACTGGGATTACAGGGTTGAGCCACCGGCCCAGTTGAATAAACGTTTTTCAATGAAACACACTCAAGTTACCACCCGAAGCAGCAGACCTTAAGTTACAAGAGACTACAGAACTCTTATGAACAACTATTGAGACAACACAAACAACAGAGAATCAGAGGGGCTAAGAAATCTGTTCAAGGCAAAGAGCTCATCAATCTCCAGGGTCTACTCAACTCAAAAGACCAAGTACTTGACAAAGGCACAAAGAGGGGCAGGGTGCAGAGTGTGGTGCTGACCATCACGGTCTATGAGATAGGATGCGTGGATTAACTCCCCTCCTCTGCCCCGCAGGTAGCCTCACAAGTTTCATTTGTCCACAGGGAGGTTGGATGAGACCCTGGGATCTCAGTGCTCTCTGGGAGAGCCTCAGGAGGAAGGCGAGTGCAAGGGGACCAGGCTTCTACTTTCACTGGTTTTATAAACTGAAGTTCTGACCAAGATTTCAATTCTAAAAAAGGCTTCTGTGCTTTAAAAGTTTGGAAGACACTAATCCTTTCTAGCCTTAATATTCTGGGGAGTGTAATTTGAGGCTAGTGCTAATGTTTTTTTTTCCAGTTTCACAAAATTTGGCATATATTTTTTCACTCTTATAAAATTATAAGGGAAGAAAAAAGCCAGCAAGGAGGTTTATATTTTAAATCCTCACCTTTATGAAACACTTGACTGTATCTATAATTTCCCTGATAAGTCCTTGTCTGGATTTCACAAGCTACAATCACTACAATGCTCCTTAATGTGAGAAAACCCAATTATTTTCATAAAGATCTGCTTTATAAAGGTGTATCAGAAATTCCTTATAGTAAAAAATGATGGGACCACCTATATTTTGAAAATACTATAGCTGGTTAACCCCTTATGGTCTGGCTTTTTAAAAACACATTATTCACCTGGGCAACTTGGCGAGACCTCATCTCTACAATCAAAAAATCAGCCAGGCATGGTAGCGCGTGCCTGTAATTCCAGCTACTTGGAAGACTGAGGCAGAAGGATAGCTGGTACCCAGTGGGTCAAGGCTGCAGTGGCCGGGAGCGGCCACTGCACTCCAGTCTGGGTGACAGAGTGAGACTCCAACTGAAAAAAAAACAAAAAAAACCCCCCAAAAAACCTCACATTATCCTGTGACATGACAATTTGTCCAAAAACATTTACACAAATCCTGACTCATCCACAAGCAGCTCTTGTCGTCAAGCGTTGTGTAGGGGACAGTTGAATGAGGAGAGATGGAATCAATGGGCAGTGCTATTACTCCAGACATACAGAGAGTTTTCTTCTTCAGAACTGGAAAGCCTTTCCAGTCATTAAAGGCTAAACACTTCATTCTGTTTGATACTCTCTGTTGGTCCAGCTAAAAGTCCCTGACAATATTCTCATGTGCAGATTCTTCACATTTCCACCACTGCTTTCAATGTGGCAGAGAACTGTCTACTTATTTTTACTAGTCTGTCACAAAACAAATTTTACATGCTACTGTCATTGTTAATTTCTTAAAAGCAAAGGAAGCTTGGTAAGCATCTATTATTCACTATGCTAATCACAAAACTATCTTTTAATAAGTAAAAGTACAGCAAATAGTATGGTTATTTTACTAATGTCACTAACATATACAGAGCACCTTTACTGGGCTTCTAAACACATCTCAGGAATTGCATTATTTCCCCTTCTCCAAAAATTCATTTCAAACTTTGCCTAATGCTCCTTCACTGGTCCCTGAAAAAATCTAATGCCACCTTTTAATGACAAGTGTTTGACTACATTCTTGAGCATGGGAATAGCTACTATGTCAGCATGTCTATGTCATTAAGGCCATCAACATTCTTCACAGAATCTGATTTTCACTGAAAAGTTGCTGAGGACTTTTAGCTAAGAGAATTGCACTGCATGCATGAATCTATGTATTAAAGGCTTTCTGACCAAACTAAAAGTCATTCTTGCATACAGTGGTGATGAGCCATGGATTAAAGATTCCCTAGGCACCCAAATAGAATTATTGTGGTTTATTGTGTCTATCATCTGCAGATAATTGAAGTCACTCAAACACTCAGCTGAAATGTTAATGAATTAAAAAGAATCATCAACTCCTCAATGAAAGCACCAAAATAGTTCTCTTTTTCCCTCTTACTAACATTAACTCGAAGGAAATTTAAGTTTAACAACTATTGCCTATTCAAATGCATACTTTCAGTTAAAAATTACAGATAAGTTTAGGTTGTAATATTTCACCACATTAAATCTAACCACTATGCCACATTTCAGCACAACTTTAAACTGACCAAATTTACATGGGTATAACATTCTGTAAATAAAACCACCAAGGTTAAAATACAAACTGGGTTCTTAAATTCCACACTGACTAAATGAAGATTTTCAAGGCTCATCACAGACTTATCTCCTAAGCACAAAGTCTTGAATAATAATTTAGGAGTGACTGACTTCTGCTATAAGTTTTTTTTTCCTCTTAAATATACCTTAAGGTGTTGGTCAAAAAAAAAAAAAATAGTTAAATAATTCCTTTTACTTGATTAGCAAGCTCTGTGTTTACTTGGAAATTTTATTTTAGTAAGTACACATATGCAGCCAAGTAGTACTGCACAAAGGCTTACACTAAGTCTTCACTAGCTGTGGACACCTAAAGATGCACTTTTAGTCTATACCATCTAGCCCAGAATGTCTTCTGGTAACCTCAAGAGTGATGCTGGATATTTAAAAAAAAATTCTACGTGTATAAAACCAACTATGACAATAAAAACAGTCAAAGATGAAACTAGAGCTCACACTAAGGAATAAGTACCATCAACTGAACATTCCTGATGCCCGTTAGAAAAAGCCTTTCCTTACTGGAATAAGAATCCATCCCATGTCATTGAAAAAGGGGAAAAGCAGAAGGAAATAAAAGGGGAAGTTAAACATCAGCTTTTAAATCAATTCACGAACTATAGTTATTAGTGTTCAGCTACTCTACACTAGCTCCCATCACACGACAAATGCAGAGTTAGTGAGCTGCTGTCATCACAATCAAGACCAGCGTTACTGCTGCAGAAGCAATGAAATGCCAACAATCCACACCACAGGATGACTCCATTACCCTCGAGGAGTCTGTGGGTGAAGAAAGCCCCTCAGCAGCATCCTCCTTGATAACTTCCTACCAACACAAAACAGGAGAGTGTGGATGAAAAGGGGAAGACATGAGCCAAACTATGAAGATGAATGAACATGATGTTAAAATAATAATCCATAACACTGAAACACTAGATGTGATTTCCCTTCACAACATTAAAAAATATAAATAGCAGTGTAAGTTCTATAGCTTTTTGTTTCCTAATTTATACAAATATATTAATAAGAAGTTTCTTTTTTAAAATGTTAGTTAAACTAAGTTTATCACAAGGAACCCCTAATATTTTGGACACAAATACCTTTTGTTTTGGATGAATTATATTCAATAGCACACTGAAAGAATTTCCCTTATCCTGTTTAATTTCTGCTATTAGATTGAAATGTTGCCAGGCACGGTGACTCATACCTGTAATCCCAGCACTTTGAGAGGCAGAGATGAGAGGACTGCCTGAGTCCAGGGGTTCAAGACCAGCCTGGGCAACTTAGCAAGACCTCACCTCTTCAATATAACAAAAAATTAGCTGGGTATAGTGGCATGTGCCTGTGGTTCCAGCTACTTGGAAGGCTGAGGTGGAAGGATGGCCTGAGCCCAGCAGGTCAAGACTGTAGTGGCTGTGAGTGTGCCACTGCACTCCAGCCTGGAAGGCAGTGAGACTCCGACTCAAAAAAAAAAAATATATATATATATATATTGAAATGTTCTTTCAATACATCCTCAATTTTTGAATGTCATGGTGCTAATATATATTCACAGATACTGTATATGTATGTCCTTTAGGGAGATATTAGAAATTAGTAGATGTAAAGGTTTAGTTTTAAAAGTTTTGGTGACAAACACTATATTACAAGCTAAAAATCTCTGGTTGTGAACAGGTCAACATTTACACACTGAGACTGCTAGTCATTTTCCTTCCACAGATATTTACAGAATGAGAACAAATACATTTTATGTTAGTAATAGTTTATGTTTCTTAAAACTATTTATAAAGTAAGTTGCACTCTTTTACTACCAAAAGGAAATAACCAAACTTCTAATGCTATCTATGCTTATTATTAGATTAATATGTTAGTTACCCTTTTAAATACTTACTAGGCCATTGTTCTGATCTCTGGGCAAACTCGTTTTTACTGATGGACGTGAGATGAGATGTTGGGAACCGCCAGGGTAATACCTTGGCGTGTAAAGGTATGGGGCAAAGAATGGCTATGGAGAAACACGTAACAAAAAAAGGGGGTAAACAATTACAGAAATAAAAATGTAATGAGATTTATCAAATGAAACTAACCAATAACATATAACTTCAAATATTTTAAGGCAAGTGTCAGAAACAAAAGAAAAAAAAAGCCTCACTCATATTTTTTATCAAATCCAAACTTAAGGCATATAATCTACATTTTTATATTATTCATTTAATATAAGTTTTTTTCTTAAAAGCAACTAAAGTTTTACACCATACAATTTGACACCAAACAATTTGACACATTTAATATGTTTACAAGTTTACCATGTGTCAGGTTCTAAATGATTTACCAATATTAACTTAAAATATCTTTAAAAGAAGCTGACTAGAATCTTAACATTATTCCTTACAAAAGAAATTGCCTAAAGAAGACTGAACAAAGTCTGGATTACATGAGAACACACCAAAAACAGGCTGGATTACATGAATACCCCAGCACGGACTCCAAAAATAGTGTTACTCTAAGTTCCTAGAGTTTACCTCAATCTTACACCCTGGAGTTTATTTTATACCCTAAGTAAGCAAACGTATCTTTAAAACACAGGTAGGGAATCTTCTGTGTACTTGAGATTTGTAACTATAGCATGCATTTGTAACCAGCTTCATATAAACAGGAGACATCAGGTTATCTAGGCTAAACACATAGACTGCAGGTCACTGGGTCTCATTACACGAAGGCAGCATCTTCCCCACCTTTTTTCCTTCTGCCAGTTTGGAAGAAATATTCTGCTTTTAACTTCAAGGCTAAAAACCTCAAATAATTACAGCAAAAAAGTAAGACTTAAATACAAGAGAAACTTTTTAAAGCTTTACAAATAATAAAATACTATTAAAGCACTATCACATTACTGCTAATCATGAAATTAGTGGACATAATAATCCCAGCCTAGATGGAAATCTTATATTTTTTTTAAACTTCTTGTTTTCAAAATTTCAACTGGCATCAGTGAGTTATTTTATGTAAACTTACAGCAGATTTTAAGACTGGTAAATAGAAACCTGCATCTAACACTGCCCATCACACAGTTACATTTTACAAGGGCAGAATATACTATAAAATGCTATTATTCCACCTTTGTCTCCTTGTCTGAATAGAAAAACAGACTAACACTCCCATGGCCTCTATGAACAAGTACCTAATTACTTGCATGGCCAACATTTTCCAAAAACTGAAAATTTACTTTAAATTCTGGAATTCCTTCTTTGACACATTTATTCCAAACTCTTTCTTGTCAGCTCATATCAAATTTATTTAGGCAGGCAGTTGGCTTCTGTGAATACTAGTTCCTATGTTTCTCAAACAAGAGGGAGATGACAAAATTAAGAAATTGCAATGGATCTTAGAGTACAGTCCCAGAAAACATAATACCAGGTTCATGTTCCATTTTTCTATGGGAAGTATTAGTATTAAAGGTGAGTAAGCTGAGAGTACAGCTTGGGCCTACTGAACATGACAGGGTCTAAATACCACTGATAAGTAACTATGCTTTCCATCTGTTTATCTAGGAAATTGTTATACTTCAATTAAGTAAGCAGTTACACACGACTGAAGATAACTTGAAATAAAACTTTAAAAATGGGCTATGGTATTATTATTTGGTAAAAACATCTGAGTTCTATAAGCAGTACCTTTCCATTATTAACTAATATTTTAAAAACACAGAACATATTAAGTATAGGTTTACTAAACTACTCTGGGAATTTAAGTTTATCATTGTTTTCAATGCTAATACAAACTATCATATAGGATATAACAAATGAAGTATTTATCTAGACACAAAGAAACAGATTTCTCTGAAACACAGAATAGTTACTGTTGACCCTGTGGAGTTCATTTTCTTATCAAGAAAATAAATAAAAACTGTTCAGACATTCTTGAGATTAGAACACATTAAAATTCTAAATTCTTTTGATTTTTAAAAAAATCATATACTTTACATTTTTCCTATTTTAAAGCCAAAGTATAGTTTAAAAACAATAATAGAATCCACAAGCAGAAAACTTCTGAGATTTCCCAGGACCTAGGTCTTCCAAAAAGAGCTGCTTCCAACTGCTTACCCGGTTGTAGAAGGGATGCTGAGGGCCCGTCATGCCGCTGTAGTAGCTGCTGTGAGGCTGCGGTGACACCACCCCACCTGCGAAAGGCCCGTTGAAAGACGTGGATGAGGAACACACTGACGGGGGCTGGCTGTACCCTGACGGTGCCCTGGGAGGAGCTTCATGCAGGGGGAGCGGGGGATACGCCAGCCCTCCAATGCTGATCTGCTCTCTGGCAGCACGGACATCTGAAAGAGTCAAACAGACCCCAGAAGGCAAGAGAAAACAGAAAGTCAGAAATTAGTCCAATGATCAGACACTTCTTTAGTTACTCGACAGAGACATAATTCTGTCACTCTTGCCTGGGATTCCAATGGGATGCAAGAAGGTAGGAAATCTTGAATACTCTATAAACCTTTTAGAGAGAAAAACCCAACTACTTTGCATAAAAGCATTTTTCACCAACATTTCAAAAGTCACCAATGTTGAGATTCTTCTCTTCAGTAATCAGAATGATTAATTTTTCTCTGACTTTTGAAGGATGTGTTTATTTGTGATATTCTAACAATTCTTATGATATACCTTTATACATAACAGGTACTTAAGAAAACAGTGCAGAAGTAATTTAAAGCAGCCTCTTCCTAATTTTGAAATGCTCAACAGAGAGTGAGGGGAGCCACAGCATACAAAAGACAGAGTTTCATGTAGTTCTCTGTGTGTGTGCATGTGCACAAAGCAGCATCTCAAGAACTTAATTTATTCCAAAACCTTAAGTCACTATCTTCAAGTTCTTGTCTGCAAATTTAAGTTAGAATTTAAAAGTAATATAAAGATTTTCTCATTCCTCTGAACAGAGACCTTATTAAGAGCAAAAGAAGCCAAGCATGGTGGCTCATGCCTGTAGTCCGAACACTTTGGGAGGACAAGGTAGGAGGACTGTTTGAGCCCAGGGGTTCGAGACCAGCCTGGGCAACCTAGCAAGACCTCATCTCTACAAAGAATGTAAAAAAAATTAGCTGGGTGTGGTGGAGCATGCCTGTAGTCCCAGCTACTTGGGAGGCTGAAGCAGAAGGATCACCTGAGCCCAGGAGGTTGAGGCTATGGTGAGCTGTGATCATGCCACTACACTGCAGGCAGGGTAACACTGAGACCCCGACTCAAAACAAAACAAAACAAAAAAACCCAGAAGACTGGTGACAGGAAAATTACAATGGATTGACATCTTCAAGTCACAACTATATGTTAAGAGGAATCTGATTTGAAGTTTCAAAGTAGGAGGGGGTTGAGGGGGCCACAATAAAGTGAGTGTAACAAATAGCGTGTTCTTAACACTTCCCAAAGGATGTCAAGACTCCTAATCTTGAACTTTGTTAATTTTCCTGTGTAGTGCTTCATTAGACACTTCCAGGTTTTTCACAGAGCAGGAGACACTTACATGGCTAAATTAGAAACTGGAAAAAATCTGAGGACCTTAGAGATTAAAAAATCAAATTTTTCACTAATACCCACCTGCAATAATTTCCCGTAGTTTGGGGTCTAGGTTTACGGTGCAAGGCAAAAAGACTTTTACATCTCGAGCCACAAGAACTGGGGTCCTTGAAGATAAAAACACTTCAAAATTTCTTATATCTCCATCTATTTCAAGCAGAGGCTCAACATCTTTAGTAGTTGGAATATTCTTTGATATCCTTCAAATAAGAAATAATGAAAAAGGTCATTAATGTCACTATTAGAAATGCAAATTCTGTATGTAACCTAAAATGTGTTACTTATACAAACAATACATTACACATCTTGGTCTCACTTTTAAAAGCTTTTTTTAAAGAACAGAAAAAAGAAACCCCCAAATTGGTATAGTTACAACAAAAGGATAACAATACGTGAGGTCAGGATTATACTGCTATTGGTCGAAGGCAGGACTTAGGTTGGGGAAACAGGAAGAAAAGTGCCTATCCACTAGGTGTGTCACATACCAAGTGCTACCGCTCAGTGAAGACTGAATGAGTGATCTCTATATAGAGGAGGTCAGTGGGCCTCAGACAGACTAAACAGCCTGCCCAAAGTCACAACTAGGAAAGAGAATCTTACCGGTTCTGAAACCCATCTTTTTAAAATAGAATACCATGGTTTTCTTCTTTGCAAAGAAGAAATAAAGAAGAACTTTTAAATAAATTACACAAATTAGAACAAAGTTAGCATAGGCTTTCCTTTCTTTAAAAAAGGGCTTTATTTTCTATTGTAAAAGTAATAAATGCTTACTATATAAGACAGAAAAACAGACAGGAAAAAACACATGCTTAACCAATCAGACATAACACCGTATAGTGTGTCACTCAGTCTTTTAATATGCAGACTCTTTTACATATTTGAGTTTAAGCAGTATATAAACAATTTGTATCAGGCAGAGATGCCTGAATGCAAAAATAAATAATAGTCATTCATTTAAAAATACTTATTAAACACTACTATAAGATTGTCATATTTGTAGGTCAAAATGGTCAAATGTTGACAATTCCTGATCTGAGGCAGTAAGCAAGAATGTATCACAGAGAGATAAAGGGATAGAAAATATGAAAAAGAAGTTAAAAGGAGGTAGATAGGAATACTGGAAATCACCCAAAAGTCCAGATAATGGACAGATAAACAATGGTGTATCCATAAAACAGAATACTACTCAGCATTAAAAAAAAAGAATGAACTATTGATAGAAGCAACATGGATGAGTTTCATAATAAACTATGATGAATAAAAATGTCCAGCCAATAAAGAGTACGCAGTTGTATGTTTTCGTATCTATAAAACTGAAAAATGTTAACCGTTCTAAAGTAACAAAGCAGGCCAGGGTTCCCCATGAAGTTGGGAATAAGGGGGAGGAGAGGGACAGGGAGGGTGTATGAAGGAAGTGTAGGAAACGATGGAAGGGAAGTGGCCATTCTCCTGACCATGGTGATGATTTCATGGTATTTATATCTATCAGACTTGTGAAACTATACAACTTAAATATGGCTGTCTATTTTATGTCAGTTATATCTCAAAAGGCTGCTTAAAATCACTGGAGATATCTTCAAAACACTCACTCCAATTTATTAAGATTATTAACTTTTGGATTGCAGGAAGTGTAGCAAATTTCAGGGAGCAGTCAGATTTTTATGTGTGTCAGAAAGTGAAATGGGAATCTTACTCTAATAGTAATAACAGTTACATTATTTTTTTGGACTAGCACTTTACGGCTCAGACCCAATACTTGGCTAGTAGCCAAGCATTAAAAATCATCTAAGAGAAAATCCAAAGAACAAAATTAGTAAACAAAAAAAGAATAGGGAACTGGTGAGAAAATAAGGAAAGCAATTTTATCTTAATTAATTTCATAAAGTCCCTTTATTGACTCATACACATGCAGAAACCAGAAAAGCCCTCTGAGATGGGATTACTTTTAATGAATTAAAATGGCATTCAGGTGGATTATTAAATATATTTATGAAATGGAAAATCTAGAGAATGCAAGTGGCCAAAATATCAGAGCTTAAACAGTTAAAAAGGTAGTTCATCTATTTCAGGAGTTTAACACAAAATACTAAGAGGAGAGGCTAGAAAGATTTAGATAAAAACACACAGCTGACAAGTCACATGAAACAAATTAACTGCATTTCCATGCCAGCTCTGCCTGAGCCTGAATGCGACAGTGTTCTCAGGACGACGAACAATGCTGCTGTTCAGAAGCCAACAGGCTGCTGCTGGCTTCCAGATTGAAGTCTCTATTCTAACCTTTTGAGCTCAATACATTAAACTCTTCTGCTGAAAGAGATATTTATGTAAATGATAATCTTTTGGCAGTGGGCCATCAAAATCATATGTGCCTTTATTTTTCAGATATTTTTCCAAAGGTTTACATTTAAAGAATTTAAGTAACTTCACTTTTCAATTAAGAGCGAATTTAAATTTCCAGTATTATGAATCATGTAAATTAAAGTTGCCAGCAGTTAAATGGCCCAGAGAAAGCATTATAAAACCTCAGGCATCAATGAGCTCCTAGTAAGTCAAAATGCAATTTCTTTCTATGCTACCAATCTAGTAATACTTGTTAATGCCAACATCAATGTAAGTTGCAAGCATTTTGATTATAAATGACAGTGGTTTATAGAAAGTCCATATTAATTCCTTGGCAGAAATTACATAAACTATTCATATCACTTCCATTCAAAATGAGGTTTTAAATTACATAAAAAATATTTCTATTTTAAATCAAAATATAAACAGGTTCTTAGAACATAACTTAGGAAGAAGGTGTCTCAAATACTTTCTACTGTGAATGCCCATTTATTAAATGCCCTCTATGCACAGAACACTTAGGGGATTCTGGGGGAAAGATGTAACACAGAGACCAAAAACAGCCACTCAGCATTACAGCCAAAAGGTCAAAAACAAAAGATAAAATGAAGTCAATTTTTATGCCCAGTGCTGTCTGTGGAAAGATAATCAAAAGCCTTAGAAGCCGCAGGAGCTAACTGCACTCTCTTCTCCCTCTTCACCCAGTCAATTCCTACCCGTCGTCGTCAGCACTCAGCGCACCTCCTCATCCTCAGAGAGGCTCCCGAGACCAGCTAATGCTCCTCCATGATAAGCCCTGGTGCACATATACTTTCTTTTTTCTTTTTTTTTTGAGTTGGAGTCTCACTTTGCCCCCAGGCTGAACACTCATGGCCACCCCAGCGTCGACCTGCTGAGCTCAGGTGATCCTTCCACCTCAGCTTTCCAAGGCAGCCGGAACTACAGGCGCGTGCTACCAATACCCAGCTAATTTTTGATTTATTGTAGAGATGATGTCTCACCAAGTTGCCCAGGCTGGTCTTGAACCCCTGGGTTCAGGCAATCCTCTAGCCTCGGCTCCCCAAAGTGCAGGGATTACAGGCTTGAGCCACTGCGCCTGGCCACATATACTTTGTTGCATAACACGTATCACAACTGAAAGTTTATATCCATTAGTGGAATTATTTTCTTAATGTCTCTCTCCCCCTCTAGAATGCAAATTCCATTAAAACTGGGAACAAGTTTGGTTTTGTTCACCATTGTATTTCTAGTGCCTCACACAGAATACTGTCACAATCTTGTTGTGCAACAAATATTTGTAGAGTGAATAAATTAAGCCTACAAAAAAGTGTTCTTCCTAAAGAACTCTATTCTTTTGAAATAAAATAACTGTCAATTTAACATTTCTGATATTCACAAAACCTTGTGCTTGGTAAAGAGAAGACTGATCCATTTGGAGTTAATTTTTGTACATGGTGCAAGGTAATGGTCCAACTTCACTCTTCTGCATGTGGAAATCTAGCTGTCCAAGCATTATTTGTTGAAGAGACTAATTCTTTCCCCATTAAATGGACTTGACACCCTTGCCAAAACTCAACTGGCCACAGGTATATGGGTTTATTTTTAAACTTTCAATTCTATTCCATTGGTCTATATGTCTATCCTTATGCCACTGCCACACTGTTTTGATTCCTGTAGCATTATAATAGGTTTTGAAATTGAGAAGTGTGAGCCCTCCAACTTAGTTGTTCTTTTTCAAGATTGCTTTGGTTATTTGAGGTACCTTACAATTTCATATGAATTTGAGGACCAGCTTTCTTTTTCTGCAAAAAAGGCTATTAGAATTTTTATAGGGATTACAATGAATCTGTAGATCACTTTGGGTGTATTAACATCCTAATATTTAGTCTTTCTTTCATGAGAAAAGAATGTTTTCAAATTTATTTAGGAATTATTTGATTTCTTTTAGCATTTTTTGTTTTGTTTTGTTTTCCGTGTACAAGTCTTTAACCTCCTTGGTTAAATTTATTTCTAGGTATTTTCTTATTTTAGATGCTATTGTAAATAGAACTGCTTTCTTAATTTCCTTTCAGACTGTTCAGTTAAAGTATATAGAAACACAACATTTTTGCATGTTGATCTATGTCTGTACCCTGCAAACCTTGCTGATTTATTAGTTCTAGTAGCTTTCTTGTGGGTTCTTTGGGATTTTCTATATTTTCTATATACAGAATCATGCCATCTGTGATTCGAAATAATTTAATTCTTCCTTTCCAAACTGGATCATTTTATTTCTTTTTCTTGTCTAGTTGTGATGCCTAGAGCTTCTAGAACAATGTTGAATAGTGGTGACACCAGGTGTCTTAGTCAGCTCAGGCTGCTGTAACAGTATACTGTAGGTCAGGTATGGTGTCTCATGCCTGCAATCTCAACACCTGGGGAGGCTGAGGCAGGAGGATCACTTGAGGCTAGGAGCCTGGGTAACATAGTGAGACCTGTCTCTACAAAAGCATTTTTTTTTTAAATTGGCTGGGCATGGTGGTGCATGCCTGTAATCTCAGCTACTCTGGAGGTTAAGGTAGAAGGATCACCTGAGCCCAGAAGATAAGGCTGTGGTAAGCTGTGATCATGACACTGCACCCCAGCCTGGGTAACAGAGTAAGACCTTGATACACACACCCAAAAATGTTGCAGTCAGATCAGTATATGCCAACAGCCATATAGCTTTAACCTGCAGTCATAAGGCACACCTGTTCTCAAAGGGTTACATGATGCAGACTTCAGTTAAGAGGAGCAGAAGTGACTGAACTGCTGTTTGCTCTTTAATCTTAACTGCCCATTCCATTGACTCATGAGGGCCAGTGTCTTTGGTTGCTGAAGT